CAGGTGGGGTAAAGTGTTTGGTTTGGTAAAAGATTGCATGTAGATACTGGTGAGAACTGCCCACTGCTAAGCCAAGTGGGGAATGTGTGGCTCCTCCTCCTCCGCCTCCAGGGCTCCTGGCCTCCACTCCAGCACACAGGTGAGAACTGCCCACCGCCCAGCCATATGGGAACCTCTTCAGCAAACACCCCACCCCACTCTCAGACCTCCTGACTGTGCCAGTATCCGGATCCATACTACAGAGACACAGGTGTTCATAAAAATCATATTATTCAGCTCCACAAGATACAACAGAAGTGAATAACAACAATAAAGCCACATCAGACCTCTGTAGTTGGTAAATTGGAGTAATCACCAACTTCCAGAAGAACTTGGACTATCTTCAGGGAAAGGGTAGGTGGAGCCAGCAGTAGAACCTTGCAGATTTCAACCCTGTAAGAGGTCAGGATGCCCAGCTTGGGCCTTGCAACCACAATTCAGCCTGAATCTCAGGCGTCTGCCATGGGCCAGCTAAGCCTAATTGCCTTAGTTCTGCACATTGCCTCCCACATTGTTTATTGTGACAGCAGAGATACATCCTGAAAGAGGCTTTTCAAATTTTTTTTCTTTTGCTCTTATTTTTAATGTATATTTTTAAATTTTTATTTTTTCACATTCTACAAATTTTCCTTTTTTCTTTCTTCTTTTTCCCACTCAGTGTCTAGCTTGCCCAAATTATTCAACATCTTCCTTTTGTTCCTGTTCCTGCCCTAATTTGGATTTCTTCTTTTTCTTTATTCTTCACTTGATGGTTATTAATTTCAAAGGCAAATGAGCAAAATTTATAGCTTCCCTATTTCAGTTAAATTGTTCTATTCTTGTCTTTGCTCTTGCACTCTGTCTTTTCCTCTTGTCTTCAACAGTTTCCTAGAGTTTGTGTGGTCATCCTGTGTCCTCTGGCTTCACTTGAAACCTTCTCCTGTTCTTTAACCTATCTATTCTTCTCCTCCAAACTCCTTCTAAGTTCCCATCCTGAAGGGTAAAGTTCCTATATTGAAGAGTTTATTCACAATAAACATATTTTGGGCTGATCCTCGATTTTGATTTAATTATCTTGGCTAAAGGTGATAGATTAATAACTACCAAACATGGTGAATTTCTAAGCTGTGCTTGATGCTATTGTGTTCCTGATTGTAACAATTGGGCTAAAGGGTTATGATTGATTTAATGAGGTGTTCTTTCTGATATTATGAAAATGAGAGTGCGTCTAAGTCATTAGAAACTCAAAACCTAAAGAGCAGCTATATTAGGAAGATCAAAAATACTAACCCAGGAATTAAACCAAGGACAGTGCAAAAACAAAAATAGCAATGAGAAAACACTTAAGAAAGGTGCAAATACAGATTTCCAGTTCACCAACAGCAAATTCTAGGGGAAAAGAGGTGGAAAAATCTGACAATCAACCACCAGAACACCCTGAACTCATAGCACAGGAAGTAACAAAACAGATGAATGAGGCTCTAGAACAATTCAAAACAGAAATAATTTCCCATATAACTGCAGAGATGGTGAGCATTATGAAAGACATGATTAGAGAAACTAGAACAGAAATAGACCAAAAAAAATAGAGGAGCTCAGGACCATGATAGAAGCCATGAATGTCCAGCATAGGAAAGAAATGGAAACCTTGAATGCCCAATATAGGAAAGAAATGGAATTCATGAAACAGATTCAAACAAATATCCAGGAGATTAAAAACTCAATTGAAAGCAATCACAGCATAATGAACAAATGTGAACATAGAATTTCAGATATAGAGGATAGGATTGCAATCAGTGAACATCAAAAGAGAGATGTCTGACAAAAAAGTAAGAGATCATGAGAAATTGATCCAACAACTCCTACCTAGATGATACAAAGAAGAGTTACACAAGACTGATAGGAATCCATGAGGTAACAGAAGAAAGTAGAAATGACATTTAAAATAATGTTCACTGGGCAGAGATAAGGGGTAAAAATGAGAACCAAGACCTGTTATGTAAAGGTACAAGATCCCAATAATGAATGTAATTGTACTGTATACCTAAAATGTACCAATAAACTCAATGAGAAAAAAATTAAAAAATAAAAGAAAAATGTTGGCACCCATATAATGGAAAAAAATAATGTTTACAGAATTAATGACAGAAACCTTCTCAAATAGAGGGGAAATTTTTCACATTCAGATAAGTGAGGCATATAGGACTGCAATTAGCCATGATCCAAAAAAAATCTACACCTAGCATATGATAGTCAAGATCCCAGAAATCCAACAGAAGAACAAAATACTGCAAGCAGTTAGAGAAAAGAAACAAATCGCATGCAAAGGAAAACACATCAAAATCACAGCAGACTTTTCAACACAAACCCTGTGGTGAAGGAGAGCCTGGAGTGAGGTATTTCAAGTCCTAAAAGAAAACAACCTCCAACCTAGACTGATGTATCCTGCAAAACTCTCTTTCAAAATGGATGGGGAAATAAGATACTTCCATGACAAAGAGCACCTGAGAAACTTCATGAATACCAAAACAGCACTACAAGGAATTCTAAGCAATATCCCAGAAAAAGACAATAAAGATCACAACACCACGAGGCCCAAGAGAACAAATCAATTAGGCAAGGCAAGAAACTAAAGGGAAAGGTGGGAAAAATTAAAAAGAGCCAAGAAAAGGACAATAGCATGATAATGATAAGTGAACAAATATCAGTTTTAACCATCCATGTCAGTGGCCTCAATTCACCAATCAAAAGAAATACACTGGCAGAATGGATTAAGAAGCAAAATTCAACAATATGTTATATACAAGTAATGCACATAGTTCAAAAAGAAACTCATATACTGAAAGTGAAAGGATGGAAAAACAGTTCTTCATGAGACAGGATCCCAGAAAAAAGCAGGGGAAGCTATCTTATTCACAGATAAAATAAATTTCAAACCAAAACTGATTAAGAGACGGAAAGGCCACTACATCCTTGTAAAGGGAAAAATCCAAGATGAAGAGATGATAATAATAGATATATAATATATGCACCAAATATTAATAACCCCAATATATAAAACAAATATTAAGGGACATAAAAAACCAAATAAGTACTACGATTGTATTTAGTAGATAGTAAAGGATTCCCTGCAGGATAAGCAGAAAAGTTTGGAATTGATTATATATAAGGAAAGGAGTTCAGTTTTGTGTTAGAAAAGATAAACTTAGTTTTTGCATGATCAGTCCAGCCATAGTGAATCTAACTTCCACTGGTAAGAGGTTCTTCAAGGATGATCTAGAGTAATAGATCAAAAGTAGTGTTACATTATTTCTTGGTGACATTAACATTTTCCCTTTTAAATCTTCAAATAAGGTTACCATCTTTGAAGGATATGCCATAGTTACTGTTATTTTCATCCTTCATCCACTACCCTTCCCTTTGTGGGCACCATGCCTGTAAGAAACTTGTGATACTGTTGCTGAAATAGAATCTAAGCCTTCAAAAGCCATCATAGGCCAAGAGAAAACAAACCCTGAGGATTATCCCAGCCTCCAGTCACCTTTATCTTCATTCATGCTACAATGCTAGGCCTCCATCCACTTTCATAAGGAAGAAAAACACCAAAACAGTACATTCCAGATGTTAATGAACTTTCATTGAATAAAATTGCATTATTTATTGATATTTGTCATCAAAAGGATCCCAATTTTTTTCTCTTTCTCTCAACTTCTCACCCCCAACAATATGAAAAAAATTCCTGATGTGAGGTAATCAGTTGGATATTGGAGGCAGGGTTGAGGCAGCAGTCAGATGAGTATTTTGGTAATTGTGCCCTCTTCCAAGTAGGAGGACAAAGCACTCAAGAATCTGACCCAGGTCCCACCCCCAGTGGACTGACCTTAATGCCACTAGCAGACCCGGTGAGGACCACAGCCGCTTGGGCACTTCCAGCAGCACCACCACCACCCCCAACCCCACCCCCTGCCTCTGGCTTCCTGCTTACCTCTGTTCCTCATCTAAACTGCAGAGGCATGGGGGGTCTTAATGGCCACTGCACTGAGTGAGAACAGAAGTGAAGAATAATAAGAAAAGTTACTATATTGATCAGTTTATTTTTTATAAACATATTTTGGGCTAGTCTTCCATTTTGTTTTATTTCACATGGTTAAAGGTGATAGATTAATAACTATCACAAATTGTCATTTTCTAATCTGTATTCAATTCTATTGTTGTTGCTGATTTTAACTTGGGCTATATAACTATCACAAATTGTCATTTTCTAATCTGTATTCAATTCTATTGTTGTTGCTGATTTTATCACTTGGGCTAGTGTTGTGATTGATCTAATCTGTTATCTTTGCTGGTATAAAGAAAATGAGATTGCCCCAGAGTTATTAGAGACTCAAATCCTAAAGGCCAGGTATATCTGGAAGACACCTCTGAGAAGCAATCATTCCTTAAGGTTTCTAAATGCTAGCAACAAAGATACTTACAATAAGTAATATTTAAGTATCAACCCAAGAATTAAACCAAGGACTATACCAACAACAATAATAGAAATGAAAACAAGACACAGATAAGCAGGTTGGGAGAAGCAAAGGCTGCCATCGAGAAACTTAGAAACCAACTCCCACCTTACTGAGCAGGCATCCATGACTGTCAGTCAGGGAGGAAGGAGAAGCTGCAGGCTACACACTGAGACCTGAGCAGACACCATCAGGTCAACATGGTCCTTCACCTGCAGGTAGTCACTTGAGACCTCCTGCTACTTCAGACAGGTGCTTTGTTTTCCACCCAAGTGAGCACAGTGAGGGGGGCAGTTGGTCATGCTGCCCTGCACCTACTCAATGTCTGGAGGGTCTGTCACGTCCATGTGCTAGGGCCAAAGGCCCTGTCCCAGGAACCAGTACTTCAATACACTTATCTGGACTGATGGACACCAGGTCACCTCTAGAAAAGATGGATGTTATTGGCTACATGGGCAGATTAAGCTGGGAGATATGTTCTCAACCCCTGAGAACATAACGGTGGGTGACAATGGACAGTACTGCTGCAACATTGAAGTTCTGGGATGGTTCAATGATATTAAAAAAAAAAACATTGCACTCAGCATTTTGCCAGCTTCAGCTGTGACCACAAGAGCTCCAACAACATGTAGTGTCCAACAACAGCACATACACAGAGCAAAAACGCAGCTCTAGCGCAGACCACAAGAATTGCAACAACACCCAGTGTCTCTACAACTCCTCCAACAGCAGAACATAAAGAGCCACAAAACAGAAATCATTCCACCTGCTCCAATGGAAGCAGAAGAAACCCAGCCTACAACAATGCAGAAAACACAACCTCAGCCCACCACCTCCTCCCCAGACTCTGGCCCAATAGATGGGAATGGCACAGCAACACAGTCCTCAAATGGCCATTGGAATAACAATCAAACTGTATTTGAAGCACAAAACTCCTGGGTGAACAATGACAGACTCTGTATTGGAATCCTTGTTTGTAGCTTGGTTTTGCTCATTATTTTGATCAGCATCATTATCAAAAAATATTTCACCCACAAAAAGAAGACATGGATACTAAACAAGGTTTTGTGGATTCGTTCTCAAATTATAGCTTTGAAACTGTGAACCCCAGCAGAAGACAATGCCAACATCATTAAGGAAAACCATTGAGTCCGTGGAAAACCATTGATAGAGAAATACTCTCTTCCCAGGACGCAGAAGACAATGCCCAGGCATCATCATGTAAAGGCCTTTTCAATCCAGGACCTTTTTTCTCTATTACTTTTTTGTGTCACTCCAGCACATCAGTGTTGTTGGATAGAGTAACTCTCATGGTCAAAGCCATATGTTACTAAATTCACTGTTAATAGAGTCCTCATGTTTAGGCCAAGACTGGCTAAGTCATTCCAGACATTGCAGAGCTCCTTGTTCAACATGAACACCTCAGAATTTTGTCTTTAGTCTCCATCCACCTTCTATCCATCAAAGAGAGTAATCAGGGATAACACAGGAAATGAGCCCACCACTGTCTAAAAGAAGGGGATTTGAAAATCCAAATATCCAGTTTGAGGCTTCATGTGGGAGAGTAAGGAGGGTTTCATGATTTCCCATTGCTTTTATACTGTAACTCCAAATACATTTTATTTGTTCCCTAAGTTGAAATCATGTGAGTAGCAGGTTTTACTTCCCTTATGAGGAAGTACAAGTGAGTCAGTCCCCTTTCATCATTATAGGTAAATATGTTTTCTCACAGCTCTGCATGGTCTCAGGACACAGAGGGCTATCTTAGCTCTCAGGTGAAGTTGCAGCACTGAGAAGGAACCAAGTAGGCACCAGGGAAGACAGTCACTTTCCCCATGGCCCATCACAATCAGCTGTGCAGTACTCTCCTTGTGTGTGGTGCTATGTCTGTGAACAACTGCCAGCCTTTCTGAAGTAAGTTTCAGGATGGGGCAGGGCAGCAATGAATGAGGAAAGAAAGAATTGGTAAAAAGGTTTCCTGCCTTACAAAAGTCCTACTGCATGGATACTAGTATTTAAAATTGTCACCACCACTTTCAACCAAAATTCAAAATTTCCATATTTTTCCTGGACACTTTTCAATTTAAAATTATTTCTGAAGGATCTTTTTCATATCTAATTAATACCAATACTATTTTTTTGCTATGTAATTAAATTTTTGGTTTTGTCAAGAAAGTTAAACAAAGACTGTTGTAAAGATAGCTTCAGTCACAGCTATGATTCCTTAAAGTACTGATTTACAACAGCTAGCATTGTCAGAAGTGAAGCATTTCTACAGGCACAGTTAACAAGGCTGGGTGTTCATTTTAGTTTCAATTTGAGTAAAGCCTGTCATAACTCAGCTGCTTTTACCATAGTGTGGTCTAGGAGGGAAAGGTGCTTGTTTTCAAAGGTCTCAGTTTTGTCACTGCCCTGCAGAGTTCTAGGAAATGAGTAGGTCCTCAGAAGGAGGGTCTGTAGGTAAGGAAGTCAACTGCACACTTTATTCTGAATTTGCCAAGTGAGGTAACATGATTTTGTCTAAAATGATATTGTGTTCACACTGCAGTATTTTCTTTGTCTGATATTTGAGGTAATATGCACAAATGGGAAGCTTTAAAATAAAAAAATAAAATCCTATGTTTGGAGCACCTCTGGAAAGACTTGTAAAGATGGGGTTTCAAGGGAAGGGCCCTTGGAGATGAAAGCACACACTCTAGTGCTGCACTCCTTGTCTTCCAGCACTGTTATTTTTATTTCTGTCTGATGCCTGGAGGCCTTTATATTTATGACACCTGCTCTAATTCTCCACATTAGCCACAGCAATTAGACAAGTCAAACAGACAAAAGCAATAAAAATAGGAAAGGAATAAGGGAAACTGTCATTATTTGCTGATGATAATACTGTACAAAGAAGACCCAAAGAACTCTGCCAAAAGACTTGTAGACATGATTGACAGATATAGTAGAGTAGCTAGATACAGGGTAAATGCTCAAAAACAAATAGCCTTCTTGTACACAAATAACAGACTCACTGAGAGTGAAACTAGGGAAACAATTTCTGCATCCAAAAAAATAAGAAATATCTAGGAATCAACCTAACAAAAGAAACCAAAGCTCTACATTGAGAACTACAACAGTCTGAAAAAAGAGAATGAAGATTTAAGAAAATGGGAAGACATCACTTGTTTCTGGGTGAGAAAGAATCAATATAGTGAAAATTGCCTTACTTCCAAAACTGCTATACAGATTCAACGTGATCACTATTGAAATCCCAACAGTATATTTCATAGAACTAAAAAAACAACAATGCAAAAATTCATTTGGAATCAGAAGAGACCTAGAAGAGCAAAACCAATTCCAGGCAACAAAGACATGGTAAGAGCTGTAACAATCCCCAATTTGAAACTATACTACAAATCCACTGTGATAAAAACAGTATGTTACTGACAAAGAAACAGACCTAAGGATCAGTGGAACAGTAGAAGTTGCAGAAACAACTCCTGACATAGCTACCAAAGGAGCCAAACACCCTCATTGGAAGAAAGACAGACAGCCTTTTTAATAAATGGTGTTGGAAAAACTGGATTTGAACTTGCCAAAGATTAAAAATAGACCCCTGTCTTTCACTATGCACTAAAGTAAAAACCAAGTGGATTAATAGTGTGTGTGTGTATGTGTGTGTGTGTATATAGATATATATATTAGCATATCTCTGTTTGTGTGTGTATATATAAACATATATATATGTATAACTGTGTGCGTGTGTGTGTGTGTGTACTCTCTTAGGACCCAAGTCTAGACATGAAATTCACTTATGTTTTATATACACTATAACAGTTAATTGTGGTGTCAACCTGAATAAGAAATGCCTGGAAGATTACTGGAGCACAGTTCTAGGTATGTCTGCCTCATTGACTTATGAAGAAGGCAAACCAACCCTGGATGTGGGTGGCACTAACCAATAGACATATAGCATGGATGGAATCAAAAGGGTAAGAAGGAAGGCTGCCACCTTTTGCTTCTTAGGAGGAGCTCCAGTTTTTGTCATTGCCTTTGGACATCCATCTCCAGGCTTCCAGCACAGACTCTTCAGCATTCCAATGCAGACCCTTTGGTTTTCTGATACAAACTCTCATGGGACTCTGCAGTGAGCTGCAGGCCTTTGACTTCTGATGGGACCTTCCAACTCTTGACCAGGCAGATGGCCCTTTTGCATTCTTCTACACTTAACTCCACAATTTACCATTTTAAGTCTATCTTGTAAATCTTTTACACAGCATACACTGTGGTACCTCAATTCACAAACACTTTTGTTTGCTAATAATTTGGCTCACAAACAAACATTTGGTAATATTTTGTTTTTGTTTGTAAACTCTACATCAGGTAACACACATGACCATGACCATATTTTCCAGAATCGTGGAATGAATTAAATTAATGAACTCAGGTACCACTGCATATATTTTTACAATAAATCCTTTCCTCTCTTGAGCTTTAACTGGTAGGTACACCATATACACATAGCCTGAGGGTCATTTTATACAATATTATTATTAAACTTACATTTTCACTGTGATCTATCATAGGTACCATCATGATGACACTCAAAAAGTTTCAAAAGTCAATATACTATGGATTTTGGAATTTATGACTAGAAATATTCAACCTGTGTTGATGCATTTAAAGGATCAAAATAAATATACAAATAAATTATGAAACTATGTTTCTTAAAGAAATCAGCTTTCTAAAAATGATTTTTTATTTTTATCTTTATTAAGTATATATTTTTATCTTTTTTTTAGAGAAAGGAATATTATTTCTTTTTTTTCAGCTTTGAGTTTATTGGTACATTTCAGGGATACAGTTCAGTTACATACATTGTTGGGATCTTGTACCTCTACATGACAGGTCTTGGTTCTCATTTTTTCCCCTTGTCCCTGCCCTCCCTTCACCCCCTCCTCCCCTCCACATCTACAAACATTTTATTTCCATTTTTCATTATGTCACATTTTTTTCTTTCACTAAATATCCTTCCCCTACCCATCCCACCTTCCCTACACCTTTACCCATTTCTTCCCATTTCACAATGTCAGTAATCTCACTAGAATCTTATGTACTATTACAGTTTATTCACACCAGAGAAACTACTCAGTATTTACACACGTGTGACTTATTTATTTCACTTAGGAGTATACCCTTAATATATATCCATTTTCCTATGAAGGAATCTATTTTCTCATTCTCTATGGCTGAGTAATATTCCATTTTATAGAAAAACCACATCTTTATCCAGTCTCAAACTGATGTGCTGTTTCCAAGTTTTAGCTTTTACAAACTGTGCTGCTATAAACATGGTGCACATACATCACTTTGATATGATTCTTTTAGTTCTTTTGGAAAGGTACCCAGCAGAAGGATGGCTGGGTCAAATGGCATCTCCAATCCAAGCTCTTTGAGGGATCTCCATATTGATTTCCACAGTGGTTGCACCAGTCTGCACTCCCACCAGCAATGGAAAAGGGTTTCTTTCTCCTCACATCCCTGCCAACATTTGTTATTGTGTGATTTCTTGATAGCAGCCATTCTTTGTGGGGTAAGGTGAGATCTCAGTGTTGTGTTCACCTGCATCTCTTGAATGACCAGTGATGTGGAACATTTTTTCATATATTTACTTGCTGCTTTTACTTCCTTGTCTGAGAAAATTCTGTTCATTTCAGATGCCCATTTTTGAATCGGGTCTTTATATTTTTTTGGGGGGGCTTATTGTTTTGAGTCCTTTATATATTGCAGATGATAGTCCTTTGTCTGTGGAGCAGCTGGTAAAAACTTTTTCCCACATTGTAGATTGTCTCTTAGTTCTGTTGATGGTTTCTTTACAGTGCAGAAGCTTTTTAATAAGATGAGATCCCAGTTGTTGATTCTTTCTGCTAGTTCCCATGCTACTGAGGATGAATTCGTAAAGTCTTTTCCTATGCCAATGTCTTCCAGAGTTCTGCCTAACTTATCTTCCAGTGAGTTTAGTATTTCTGTTTTAATATTTAGATCTTTAATCCACTTGGATTTTAATTTAGTGCATGGTGAAAGATAAGGGTCCAGTTTTAATCTTTGGCAGCTTCAAATGC